TGCTTAGTTGCTGGCTGGGGCTAAACCACGACAAATATCTAAGGGAGAAAGAAGAAAAAAATTTGCTGTGGGAGTAGAAATGTCAAGTCAGAGAAAGAAACTGAATGCAGGGATAAGAAGCAGGAAAGGGGAAAAGAATCCTTACAAGTTTGTGTTTAAAAATGTTTTAATTCAGCTAAGTCACTGCAGTGCAGGTTATGTTACGTTTTCTTCCTTTTCTACAGTCCTGGGATGCTGCTTTAGCTAAGACTGCTAAAGCATGGGCGAAAAAGTGCAAGTTCAAGCACAATATCTACCTTAAAGTGAAGGGGAAGGTGCACCCCACCTTTACTCCTCTTGGAGAAAACATCTGGACTGGCACAGCCACCATCTTCTCCGTTGACACAGCTCTCAGTGGCTGGTTTAATGAAGTCAGCAGCTACAGTTTCAGCACTAATAGATGTAGTGGCATGTGTGGCCACTACACCCAGGTGAGTCTTACATGCCCAATGATTTATAATGTAATGGTTTCACAGAAAATCCAAGTACAGGCTTGGAACAGACCCCTTTGGAACAGGAATTACAGCAGGGGTTTTCACCCCCCGGTTTATTGCTGCATGAGATTGGAAACAAATATTCCAAACCCCAGGGATGTCCAAGTCCTATTTTCAGTAACGGTGGAAAGGTATTATCTCCCTGACAATTTGATTTTTTCAGGGGAGCCAGGTAATTGCAAAAACATCTATCAATCAGTCATTTGTCTAAGCGCCCTTTGGGTTGTCAATGTTGCTCCTGTGTCAGCTGTTTTAAACTTCCACGAGATCCTTCCCTTCCCCTTCCTCCCTTAATGCTGTTGCTTTTTCAGTCTTTGAACAGGTGCATTACATATTTCCCTTTGCTCTTCAGGTTGTATGGGCAGAGAGTTACAAAGTTGGCTGTGCAGTTCACTTCTGCAATACAGTTGAAAATTTTCCAGGACTCTTCAGAGCAGCACATTTTGTTTGCAACTATGGGCCAGCGTAAGTTAATTATGGCATTTGGGGTTTAGGTTTTTTGGTTTTTAAATATCCTATAATTGACCTGGTTATCAGATGCCAACAATGATGGGAGCAGTTGTAACAAATTTCAGAAGAAGCCATGGCTACATGTCACTGGTCCAAGGGAAACTTCCCCCAGCCATTGAGAGCAGAAGCTGCTGGACATAGTTGGAGCTGTAGAAAAGCCCTTTGTAAAAAAGCAGAAGAGCAGATCCTAGCTGAGAGCACTTGCCATAACCAAGAATGGTGGAATATGATCTGTTTTGATTTCAGTCTCTGCAGGAAAAGTGCTGCAAGAAGGTGCAAGCTTTCTGCTTGAGAAAGATTACATCTTTCAATGGCCCCACCCGAACTTCAAAGAAGACATTTTAATTGCAGAAATAAAAGGAAGACAGTCCTTTAGTTTATCTCATACCTTGCAATTTCTGGATTTACCTTTTACAGATTTGTTTTTAAAATACAGGTGGATAATGAGGGACTAGAGGCAGATTCTTGTATGCTTACACTGAATAATACAGTATTGCCTGGGAAGTCTCATTAATTTCAAATGGCAAGAGTCACCAGGTAGCTGCTCCCCATGCCAGTGAGAGATTTAATCTGATCTAAAAGGAATTGCAAACAACTGCAATGATCAGGTTTTGGATAAAGGGATTTTCCCCCCGCCCCCACCCCAGCTTTTCATGATAAATTATTCTAATAATCTGATGAAACCATGTATTTAAATTGCTTTTCAAATGACTGAGCTAACAAAATACTGTTCTTCTGCTTTGCAGGGGGAATTACCCAAGAAAACCATATAAGGCAGGAGAACCATGCAGTGGATGCAGTAATGAGAAGTGTGTAGACAAGCTCTGTGGTAAGACCAAAGTGATCAACTAAGAAAATTGCACAGAAATAAAAGTAGCATAATTATCAGTGGAAGTATAACAGTGAGTCAATTTGCACTAAGTACATAGTGGGTCTGTAGCCCACCACACAGCAACAGTACCAAACCCTGGTAAGAATAGTTTAAGAAAGAATTAATTGAAATACTTTGCTGTTGAATGCTCTCAGAGGTAGAAGCCAGAGTTTCTGATGAAGGGAAGTATCAGACTACTTTCCACCTTTTATCTGATCAGGAAGTCAAATCTAAAACTTTAGCCCCAACAAATATTCCCCATCTGGTTCTTCTTTCCTAGCAGAAATGGTATATTTAAATTCTGCTTTCTTGCTTGTTTAGTGTGTTCTAGCACATTTTCCAGAAAACTACAGTTCTGAACCAATAATAGGACTATACTGAAAAGCACACTTATTTCTAACTTCCACAATTTTCTGAAATACAGCTGTGAAAGCTTGTTTTTCCACAGCAGTTTGCAGCTGCGGACCTTTATGTCGTTACACCTAGGCCCAAATTAGGCAGAAATAGTGTTTGAAATAAGCAGAGATTAAAGGACATGCAACAATGTCTTAAATCAAGTGTTAATTTTATACAGAGGTTTAATGGGGAGGGTCTCTACTAGCCAGGCTCTCGATTGCTTTAGCTGTAGAAATACTTGAGCATTTGGTATTCTTATTTCCTTCTGTGGTATTCTGGCTGACTCATCTTGAAGTCTCAGACTGATGCATCACAGAAAAACTAGAAACATCTCAAAGGCTAGGGAGTGGAGAGGAGGAAGAGAGCTTTTAAAAATTAAGTGCTAGACCCTACAACCCATTTTACCATGTTCTCCTGTAGGGCAAATCAGCAATTCCAAATAGGATGCATGTAGGCAATCCTGCAAATGCATCAAAGCTCTTAGTAAATGTCTACTTCTGTGATAAATTTAGTAGTTACATTTGTCTGTCTGTAACTACTTAAATGTGGTTTGTGTATCAATTTTAAATAAATTCCATGTTTTGTTTTTATTTGCTATCCTTCCTCCCCATGACATAAATTCTTCTTAATCAGCTGCTTCTTTTCTGCTTCTCTTTCAATTCAATAAAAAATACGAGCCCCATGCCAGTTGGGAACCTGCTCTTTTTGGCCTGCTCCCCCCTTGAAGGATGTTTTAGGCACTGACTGGCATCGTCAGGGCAATCAGCCAGGCAGCAGCAATGGTTTACCTCTTTACATTAAGAACTGAATGATACTCACATTTATTTCCTTTTCTGATCTCTCTACAGAAAACCCAGAACGTGAGAAGCTGATAGGTACGTATCAAATTGTTCTTCATTCCTTTCCTATAAGTACGGCTAAGTTTGATGGCTCTTAACAGCTATTTCTTCACTGTTTTTTAGATTATGCTTACTGGTATCCGGACTGGGATACACAGCCCCAGCCACCACGGCCCCATCCCTCCAGGCCTCCCACGCCGCCGTACATCCCACCTGCTGAGCATCCACATCCCTCTTGTGACCAGTACTGTCTTACTGTTTCAATTTTAAGGCCACTGTTTTTGGTGCTGAGTTCTGGTGCTGTTCTTTTAATACAGCAGCGATTTCCACACACATTTTTTTATGACTAATGATCAATTAAGATACTGATAGGGATCCTACCACTGTATTACTCTCAGAAAATTGCACACATTTGCAAAAACACTCAGTCATCTCTCCATTACCTTTGTGATGTTTATCCAGCATAGAAAAAGCTTCTTCTTTAACTCAAGGCAAGATATAAGTGGCTGTGCATAGTGTAATTTATTGGCAGTAGCCGCAACATGCTTGTACATCTGCACGAGCCTCTTAGGTCTGGCTCAGGAGTAGATTGCTAGTGGGATCACATAGCCTGTATATTACTACACATGCTAACAAGCCTCCTGGAGACCTGGAGCATCACAAAGACATGTCTGAAGCAGCATAGCAGATCGAAAAGAAGCAATAACTCATCTCCATTAACCTTCAGTTATCCCAGATGTTGTTTCCCCAGATAATGGAGATTTAACTGTATGTATTAATTTTAAGAATAGAAAGAGTAAAGCTTGTCCTTTACTCTATTTAGCCCATGTGTATCAGTCTCCATTAAAGTTACTCTATTATCAGTTGTACTATTCTGTTGTTCTCCTCTCGGAGTTAAGCTTTGTCCTCTACAGTTAGAAGAATACCAGGGAAAGTTGATAGAGCAAGGATTAAGATGGAGTGTCAACGGGGAGAGCTTAATTTTAGGATGTGAGATGGTGACAAAATCTGAAATGCAGAGTAGATGACAGCCATCCTGAGCCTGCAGGCAGGGGAAATGAGGGGAAGCAGGGAGGGAAAACAGAAGAAAGAAGATGAAATGGGCCCAGGACAGATTCTGGTTTGGAAATAGAAGATCTCAGCCTCATGAAAAAAGCCCAAACTGTTGATGGATTCAGTTTGTTTTTAAAGACATTTAGCCCTCAGCCTCTATTGTTCCTATATATATTTGTTAGTAAGGGAAACAAACCCATCTTTCTAGCTGAGAGATGCTGGCTCATATTAGCAATGCGTAAGTGTGTTATCAATATTTAAAGCTGCTTCTCCTCTTTTATTTTAGTCCTAATGTTTTGAGAACACAGTCACTCAAATTCTGAGCCACGTTGCAGCTCTGAAGGAGCATGGCGTCCCACAGAATAAAAGTGAGCCTGAAATGTTTGGGCTCTTGTCATATGCTGCAAAATGTCACCGTGTAAGATACATACTTAATTTCACAATTGTACGTTCTGTCTGCTGCCATCTTTCATATCTAGCAACAGCAAGTAGGCTGGGGGCAAGTGGTTGGGAATGGGACACAGCTGGGACAGCTGACCTGAATTGACAAAAGCAATATTCTATACCACATAACATTGTGTTCAGCAAAAACCACCAGGATAAAAGAAGAAGAAAGGTGGGGGGCTGCCTTCCAGGGTGGCCATTGCTCAGACACTGTCTGGGCATCAGTCTGCCATTGGGGGTGGTGAGTGATTGCCTTTGCATCACTTGGGGGTTTTGTTTGTTTGTTCCCGCCCACCCCTTTACACACATATTAAGCTGTGAGTTTTCTCACTTTTTTTCTTCCTGTTTTCTCCCCCTATCCTGATGGGGAAGGGGCAGTGAGTGAGCGGCTGTGTGGGTGCTTGGCTGTTGGCAGGGGCCAACCTACCACATTATTCTGCACTAAAAAGTGATCCGTAGGAGAGTTGTGAGCACAGTGTTTCTCATCCACAATTCCCTCACAGGGCCTTTTCACCTGTTAGCAGTCTGCCCATTAATAGCTGGAGATATGCGACCCACAGGACCTCATGTGTGCTGGTGGGGCTGCTGTTGCAGGATCACAGGGTGACCCCAGACCACCAACCTGAACGTGGTCTTGCCACCAGCCCCGCCACCTACATGACTGCATGCGCAGAAGTGATAACTGGCACCTACACCCAGCTGTTCAGAGAATGCAGATTCCTAAAACAAAATCTGGAGCGGGAAGAAACCCAGCCTCATTCCCACAGAGATGCCCAGGTTGGGACTGTCGGAAAGGGCCTGAGCTTGATGGACAGGTGATAGTTAAGGGCAGAGTGAGGAGGAGGGTGTGGTGGTGGGCCTGAGCAGGGAGTGTTGGGCACCTGAGGCAGTGTGCATGGGACATCAGCTCCCAACTCCTGGCTGTGAAACCCAGTGTGGGTGCTGCACACCCGACACGAGACAGCACCAACCTTCATAGCACCCAGCTCTCCTCGGTGCTTGGGTTGCAGGGAATGAATTACAAATTGCTAAAGCTTGGGAGGAGAAATTGATAGCAACACATAGCACAAGCATGTGAACACGGGAGAAACCCATCAATAACTGCAGCATATTTAAATTGCAGTTCTCAGCCAAACATACCCCTCCAATAACTCAATGTGCAACCAAAGTGACTGTTCATACTGTAGTAAAAGTTATAGTTCAAATCAATTATTTCTCAGAGCATTTTAGCTCAGAGTAACAGCCTTAACAGCAATGCTATTTTCATGAAAAGCAGAAAATTTATACAAAACTTTACTGCAATCCATAGTGATTGCTATGGATGGTGTCCTGGTTTCGGCTGGTGCTTAGTTGCTGGCTGGGGCTAAACCACGACAGATGGGATGGTGGGGGACAAAAAAACAAAAACAAAGAAGCCCAAAGGACCAGAGAAAAGAAGCTTGCCCCCCACAATTAAAGAAAGAAGAAAAAAAAGAGAGAGACAAAGCTGACACAGCTCTGATGTGAACTTGTAGCTTAATTTCCTTATTCTCATAGCAACGCTCCTGAAATATGACTCATTTCCTGTGACCAACGCCATATTCAATTACCATGGCTAAGATAAGTCCAGCCCACAAGCCTCCAAGCAAAACGCTGCCGGTGGAGCTAAAGCCACCTCGTACAGCTGAAACACTCTGCTGGTAAAGCTGGAAGACCAGAGGCTGAGAATCATGACAAGCAGATTTTCTGCTTGTGTGCTGGCTTTACTGCACTTCTGTCATTCCTCTGACTCCTATGAACCATCAACATTGCCTGATATTGGAGATCCAAAGTTTATTGAGGAATGTGTGCAAACTCATAACAGATTCCGGTCTGGAGTGAATCCACCAGCCAGCAACATGCTCTACATGGTAAGGGGATCTTCACAACTTACGTGCAAGTGTGTAACATTGTGATGGTGTTTACAATTCTCAAAGATTGTTTTTGTGATCAAATGCAAAAAAAAAGGAAAAAGAAAAAAACTCCAAAATCCTGGGGTCATATGAGCTACTTCTTTTTAAAGCAGAGAAAAAGGCTCTGAGTATCAGATGGCTTTATACGATCAGGTATGTGTATAGTTTTGCCTGGCTTAATTTCCTCATTTGAAACCCAAGATTTCAACCCTCAACCTAACGCTGTCGTTTTGTGCTGTGAAAAGCCTCCTCGTTCCAAGGCACCGCAGCTTAACAGCCCAGGGTGTAATTTATGTGCAGACCTAAGCACAGCCTTTCATCCTTGAGTCGGCCAGGGCAGAGACAGTTGCCAAACGATGCTGGAGAGCTTTCTCTAAGCTTTCTTTGCAAGGCTCTCACGGACCGATCCAGCAGAGCAGCTGTGCCTAGGCACTGGGGCTGCAGGGGAAGCCAACAAGCGACAAGTGCAGCAGGAGCGAGCGCTGGAGGCATCAGGTCCCATGCTGCTGTGCCCCCCTGCCTTCTCCCAGGCCGTGCTGGGGGCCAGTGTCTGCAGCCACCATGCAAAAGACAGCCTGTTGTGATTCCAAATATACCCAGAAATGGCCACCTCTCATTTCAGACGGCTTGTGACGCTTATCTCCCTGCTGGGTGGCACATGATAAACCCAGCAAGGAGGAAGCTGTAAATGCTTGCGCAAAGCTGGGCTTATGGCTGGGAAGCCCGACTGTGATTTGTGAGATGTTTGATTCCAGTAGCTCGGGAGCTGGCTCTTGCAATATCCATCACCTTTTGTGCTTTGACTGGGTAATATGTGAGATACCATGTTTCTTCTTGGGATAATCTCCACAGATCTCTGTTTCCTTTTGCTCCTTTTATTACCTCGCACGGGCACCAACAGAAGAGGACATAACCACATCTCTAATTAGCAACACCCCAACCGAAGTTCAAGATGACCCCCTTCATTTTCCATTTCTGGTTCTCAAACACTAAATAGAAGTGCCTGTTAGGGGCGGGTAAGTGAGCAGTGAGCAAGCTCGAGTTGCAAGCCTGACAGGAAACAATTTAGTTTCTCTTCTAGATGTGTCATTTACTTCAGCTTTCTTCAGCTGGCCATCCTGAACTTCCAGTACGTATTGCTCTACACTCTGTTTTCTAGATTGCTTTACTGGCCCTACACTAACAAAATCTTGCTATGATGTATTAGAAGAGCAGTATTAGTATTTTTAAATTGTCCCTAATTTTTCTTTTTGAAAAATTGAAGAACTGAAATCTGAAAAAAACCAGCTTAAGAAACAAACAAACAAATAAAGATTATTACAAATAAGCCAAGAACTAAATAATGCTAAGTTTCTTTTAAAACACTGCAAAACCCCTAGTCTTAAGTATGACCTCTCCCAGGAAGAATTTAATGTGGAGAAATCAGTACATGATAAAATCTATTATGAAAGTAAAAGCATTGGAATTTAAAACAGCATATTTCTTCATTTTTGAATGGCCTTTAGCACTTCAAAATGAGGAAAAGAAGATTACTTCTTTATTTCACAGGGAACTTCTGTTTGCTGTAGAATCACAGAATCATAGAATGCTTAGGGTTGGAAGGGACATTTAGAGGCCATCCAGCCCAACCCCCCTGCAGTGAGTAGGGACAGCTTTAACTCCATCAGGTTGCTCAGAGCTGTAGATAACTGTCCACCTTGATATGTAAAAACAAAGACTATGAACTCAGGGCATTTCCACCTTTTGGAAAAACAGGGTTTTTTAAAAGAAAATACAAGACAGAAACTCCTTTACCTGCAAGTAACAAAGCCCAACCATCTATATTTGTAATATATTTATTAGAAAATGAGAATGCTGATCGAACTTTTTTTTACCTGACAAATTATTTACCTGACAAAAAATACCTTTTCCCATTCACCCAA